ACCCAAATAACATATATTGTACTCATTAGGTAATTTCTCATCAACCACCCCCTCTCCCTTTCCAGTGTCCACTCTCTAGCACCCCAAACTCTGCATCCATGTGTATGCATTATTTATCTCCCACATATAAGTGAGAACATGTTATATTTGTCTTTTTGTGCTTGACTTGTTTTACTTAAGTTAATGGCCTCCGGTTCCATCCATGTTGCTGCAGAAGGCATGATTTCATTCTTTTTTATGGCTAAATGGTATTCCATTGTAAATATTACCACATTTTCTTTATCCAGTCATCCCTTGATGGATGCTTAGTTTAAAGTTATGTTTTTAAAGTGGATTTGATATTCCCAACTGGTTTGTTATTGTGATTCAGCTAGATCAACAATTTATAATTTATTTTTAAGCTTTATTGTATAAATTACTTCTTTGAAACTAAAGGCACATGTTACCAGAATCTGATTGACAACTATTATTGAGTACTATTTCCCATTCAAATTTAGGGGTACAAATCACTGACATTTATGCCTCTGAGTATTCCTTTCTGTGTTCATACTCAAAACAAGAGCATGAGCATGGAAAGGGAAAAAAATCTTAAGAAAAAAAAAAGTTATGTCTTTGCTACCCCTTATAACTCTTTCACTCCTATACCAGTGACTAGTTCTACCTTCCACTCAGTTGTTTGAGACATGCCTCTGGGAGTCAGACTTACCACCTGTCTCTCCATCTCCCCCATAGCCAATGACCAAGTCCTGGCAATTCTTTCCCCCAACCTGTCTATCCATATATACTGCCATTGGCCTTGCCTGTGTCACCATCACCTCTTGTCATAATTTCTGCCTCCTGTTTTCCACTCTCTACTCTTGCCTTCCCCAGTTGATCCTCCACAAAGCAATCAGAGCCTTATTTATTTATTTATGACAAGGTCTCATTCTGTTGCCCAGGCTGGAATGGTGATATCATGGCTCACTTCAGCCTCAACCTCCTAGGCTCAGGGGATCCTCCCTCCTCAGCCTCCTGGGTAGCTGGGACTGCAGGTGTACACCACCACACCTGGCTAATTTTTTTTGTAGAGACAAGGTTTTGCCATGTTGCCAAGACTTGTCTCAAATTCCTGGGTTCAAGCAATCTACCTGCCTCTGCCTCACAAAGGGATGGGATTACAGGTGTGAACCACTGCACCTAGCCAGTCAGAGCAATAATTTTTAACTGAAAATGAAATAGTCTTTATCCTCCTTGCAACCCTTCAGTGGCTCTTAGGATGAACACTGGGTTGTCCCATTCAGCACATCAGGGTTCACCACAATCTGGTTCCTGCCTTTTCGGGGTCCATTTTATACTTACCTCTGTGCAAGCCATGCTGGTCTTTTAAATTCCTAATTTGGTTAAATCCTACTCTCTCAGATCTCGGCTAAATCTCACTTCTTCTAAGAAGCCTTCCGTGACTCCTCAGTGAAGATGCATTTGGCTGTTGACACTTTTCACCTTTGCAGTGAATGATGAATTGTGTGATTTAGTGTCTAGTGCTTGTTACCCCTATAAGACTGAGTTCCCAGCATCACACCATGCCTGCCTTGTTTACTGCTACACCCCCACCTCTAGAGGTGCTATAGTGCCTGGCACGAGGGCACAACAACACTATCAAATAAATATCTGAATATGTGAATACTTATATACCCACATGTGCTTCTCTGCTACCTGAGGACCCCTCAGACAAAAACAAAAAGGTAAAACCTCCCAAGTTGGAAATGTTCAAATACCAATTCAGAGCCATCAATAGGTTTGAATGACTGTCATCTTGTATACTCTATGATTGGTAATTGAGTATTTTAAATATGCCTTGTAGATGAAGATAAATCATTCAGGAATAAGATTATAAGGAGTACCTTGATGGGTACTTGTACTTAGTTAGGGTCCAGGATTTGGCTAGAAAGTTAATTTATTCTTTAACCAGTGATGTTCAGCTTCTGGGGCCTGGTTCATCTTAATGGAACTCACTAGAAACCAACAAATTCAGAATTTCAAGCCACCTGTACATTTACAGTGTGTAATACAATTGTCAGGCACTGCTGGTGACTGCTCAGGAACACATTTCTCTGCTGTGCAGGATCTGCATGTAAAGTCAGATTGTACTTCCAAGGTTGGAGGACATGGAATCAGGGTCAAGTCAGATTGTACTCCCAAGGTTGGAGGACGTGGAATCAGGGTCAAGACAGTATGTGGTCTAAACACTTGTATCACACAACAATGGCTCCAAGTGAACTGTCTGAAACAAAATAGTCAGAAACTAGAATCTCTAACAATACTTCATATACTGACTATGTTTATCTATCCTTGAGTACTTTTTCAGTCTGGATTAGGAAAGTCATTTTGTTAATTTCCTAAATTATTTGCTTTTTGATTTGTTAAATTGATTTCTGCACAGCTCCTGAACTTTTGTCAAGATTGCACATATTTTTCCTACAGCTTCAATTCTAATGGTAGAAATTGGACTAAATGATGGTACTATAACATCATAGGGCAATCAAAGTTATGTTAAGATGAAGTAAAAGCCTCTCAAATATGAAATAGGTTTTTAAGTGATGAAGGCATAGCCGATTAAGTTAAAAAAAAGTGCCACTAGCTAAAAATACATTGACATTTTAAAGAAAGCGGGGTAACTTAAAAAGGAAACAAATTGCCTTTTAAAAAATGTTTAAAAGTTGTGAAATCATTTTTGGGGAGAGCAAACACTGTGTGCAGGTGAACTATTAGAAGAAAAATATTCCTCTTCAACGAATTTGCTTCAGAATAACCAATTTTCTTAAAGCTAGAGATAAAAAATGAAATAAAATAAACTCATGAAAACATTGCCAGACAAGCAGGTCATACTTAATTGCTCAAAACTAAATTTAAAAAAAAATGTAGTCTGAAAAATCTGTTATAAATTCCAATATATTCATAAATGGCCACCAGTAGTTCTTATGTATGCTGAAAATTATCCTCAAACCTCAATTTGTTCTCAAAAGGGATTAATGGAAGTTTATGCATTAAAAGTCTAAAACTTTACTGTGCTTGGCACATAATATATGGAAAACTTTGTGACTAGAAGTATTTACCTTTGACCTTGCATGCCGGAGCTCATAACTCCTGTTACAGTACAGAATTGTGAGATCTAATTGTGGCAAGCCAAGTAAAAATACATTCTCCTGATTTTTTTTGGTTGAAGTTTCGCTGTAATTCTAGAGAAACGTAGGCTCTTCTAAGACAGGAACGTGCCTTTCAGTGCCACCTTTTCAGTGTTTGCAAAAGGTAAAAATCCAGCACTACCACAATTTCTTTTTAGGGTTGTGCCTCCAGAATACTTAAAAAAAATGTGTATGTGCGTGTGTGTGTATATGGCCAGAATATATTATCAAGTGTTTATATTATAAAGGGTTTAAAATCTCCATAGATAATGTTTAGATAAATTCATTTTTTGTTAATATTTTCCTCATGGTGATAGACAATTACTCCACCTGTCTTCATTAAGTGGATGTTTGTTAAGCCTCATTTTTATGTTCATATGTACCTTTCTCTGAACTAGCACAATCATGATGTGGGCTTTGTGATCCTGTCACCAAAGATTTTGAAAATGTCCATACTTTGCACACTGCAGATATTAAAATATCCCAAATGTCAGAGAACTCCTGTGCTTGTAGTCTTTGGAATGATTTGGTTTTACCTCTGTTTGTTATAGGGCAATCTGTTTGAGACACAGGTATGAGTTAAAACATCCTTTTAAATAGACCTAGTTCATCTAAATCATTTTCCAGTAAGCTCCTCCAAAATCTGGAAAGGCTAGCTTATCATTAATCAAATGTTTAGTTAATGTTTAATATTGCAGGTATTTAGTGAGCTTGCTTGAGTTTCAGCAGGATCTATAACAGGTGTGTTCATACTGTAATTCTGATTTAATTGTAGCCACCTGATTTACTGAGCAACAACTCTTTGAGATCAAAAGATGATATCTGGGATGCATACATTTTTGTTAGGCCATCTGCAAGAATGCAAAATGAGTATAAAAGGCTTTGGTCCTCCCTATATGTCAAGGCTTTTACTAAGGGATTTCCATCCTGCCTCTCAACTGCTCCTCAGAAAAACTTATTTTCTACCCTTCTTAGCATCCCCTTTCTCTCACTCCTCTATTGCCCAGGATCCTCTGTTCCAAAGTCTCTAAATATCAAAGAAACTGTCTTAAAGCCAAATCACTAGATCTTTAGCCTGGAAGAACATGAAGAACACTGCTTCCCAAGAGACTCAGATACTAAAGGACTTAGGATGCAAATACTTTATTCATTTGGTTGGTTGCTATTGATTGGAGGAGAGAGATGGAAAGAAGCCAGAGGACCTAGAAAACATTCAACCAGGGTAGTCAGTCCCCAGTTGAATGCTCAAGATATCTGACCACTAGGACAATGGAAAGAAGCCATTGTCTTAGTGGTCAGATATCTTGAGCATTCAACTGGGGACTGACTACCCTGGACTTTGCTTTCAAGATTTGGAAGGGGAGTCCCAGGAGCACAATGAGGCAGGATCCCCATGGCTGGTCACCATTGCTGTGGGTATTCTTATGGCAGAGTGATGGATGAGTAATGAGGGCCAAGATGCTGCCCAAACTGCTGCTGCCTAATTTCCTGCCAATATCTTTATGCAATTGGGTAGAAGTGGTGAGGGGGTAAAGCTGTGCCTGATGGTCTATGTAGCTTGTTTAAGATAATGAACCAAGAAAATGGAAAAAGCAATGGAAGAATAATCTGGAGATCAAAAAGGATAAGTTGAATTTAGTTAGGGGTGGGACTATCATATTACCAGTGACAATAATGAAATCCCATGGACCCACAGTGGATTGAACATGTCCACCTGAACTTCTGCTTTTCAATAGGGATGGGATATGGGGGTGATTAGGACTCTAGCAGTTGCACATGTTGTCACGTGTCTTTTCTTCTGCTAGGAAGTCATTGTTGCTGTTATCCTTCTCTGACCAGGTGTTGGACTGGATTGAAAACCATGGTGAGGCCTTTCTCAGCAAACACACTGGAGTTGGGAAGTCCCTACATCGAGCCCGGGCCTTGCAGAAGAGGCATGATGACTTTGAAGAGGTGGCTCAGGTGAGACGCTGTGTGTGTGTGTGTGTGTGTGTGTGTGTGTGTGTGTGTGTGACCAGGGCTGTGGCTTTGGTGTTTGGTGAAGCATGCTGGGTTGATAACCCGTGGACTTTGAAGAGGTGGCTCAGGTGAGATGCTGTGTGTGTGTGTGTGTGTGTGTGTGTGTGTGTGTGAGAGAGAGAGAGAGAAAGAGAGAGACAGACACCAGGGCTGTGGCTTTGGTGTTTTGTGAGGCATGCTGGGTTGATAACCTGTTGCTGCTGGGCTGCCTTCCTGCCTGATGCAAGGAGTCCTTTGTCTTTTTTTGGAATCTAGATAAGTGGTAAAATAGATGCCCACGTTTATTTTCTTTCAAAAAAATCTTCCTGCTGGTGTGATCTAAAAATGCCTTGTCCACAAGGTGGTGCTGGCAGGAGGGAATGACATTATTAGATTCCTCATCACCCCAGGGCTGCTGCTTATGATTGTTACTACCAGTGAGTGAGAGCTAAAAATCAGTCCCAGCTCTACTTGCAAAGCCACATACCTTCTAGGACCTGGAGAAATAGGTGGCACCTGCTCATCAGCCATGCGCTCACAGGGCAGAATGTGCCCAGAGAACGTACCTTGGTGTCATTTCTACAATATTTAAACTGCCATTTATACAATGTTCAGTCTTTTAGCTGAGCTGTATACCTGATCCAAAAAGGGCACTGTTTTTGAATTTATACAAAGATGTTGTATGAGAGGTCCTGACCATTTGTTTAATAATGTAATTGTTTCAAAGTCTGTCTTTTTGTTTAGAGCCTCTACCTCAAAAATGTTGTCCTAGCTCTGTTATATTTCTCCACTGGGGAGTTTTCCAAATGGGTCCTGAAAATTTTCATTTTCAAGATGAAATACTGCTCTCCAGTTATTTTGTCAGGTGTGATCAGCTGCCATGAAAAATAAAATGATGAAGAATAAGGCAGGGAGGGTGCCCACATGGGACAGAGGGGTAGGTGTTGCTGAAGGAGTGAGGATGACAGAGCTAGGTTTTACCACATCACCGCCTTAGCCAGAGCTGACTTCAGTCCCACTAGGCAGACAGCCCTCAATGTGGGTCCCACTTTGGGCATTATGCAGAGCCCTAGGCCTCACCCAGGGAGGTGCCCAGCCCCAGACAGGCTATGTGCAATGGATGCAAAAAGAGATGGCCCATCAACAACCAAGCAAGAACAGGAAAGTCATGGAGCATTACTGCATCTTTAGGGGAGCTGCAAGTAAATGCTGAAAAGTGAAAGCCCTTACAGGAGCCAGAAAGACCATGTTAGCAGCAACCTGAGCCCAGGGAATATAGGTGGATTGGACCCAACCTGTGGGATAAAGAAAGCCTCCTATGGAACCCTTGTGCACTGTTGATGAGAGTGTAAAATGGTGCAGCCACTGTGGAAAACAGTGTGTTGGGTCCTCAAAAATTAAAAATACAATTGCCATAGATCCAGCAATTCCACTTCAGCATGTATTCCCAACAGAATTGAAAGCAGGAACTTAAACAGATTTTTTTTTTTTTTTGAGACAGAGTCTTGCTCTGTTGCCTAAGCTGGAATGCAGTGATGTGATCTTGGATCACTGCAACCTTTGCCTCCTGGGATCAAGTGATTCTCCTGCCTCAGACTCCAGAGTAACTGGGATTACAGGCACCTGCCATCACACCTGGCTAATTTTTAAAATATTTTTAGTAGAGATGGGGTTTCACCATGTTGGACAGGCTGCTCTCAAACTCCTGACCTCAGGTGATCCATCCACCTTGGCCTCCCAAAGTGCTGGGATTACAGGCAGGAGCTACCAGGCCCGATCATCAAATAGATATTTATACACCCATGTTCACAATATTTAAAAGGTGGAAGCAACTCCGATGTCTATTGACGGATGCACAGATAAACAAAATGTGGTACTGTATATTCATATAATGGAATATTATTTAGACTTAAAAAGGGAGGGAATTCTAATAAATGCTACAACATGGATTAACCTTGAAGACATTATGCTAAGTGAAATAAGCTAGTCACAGAAAGGACGAATAGTTTGTGATTCTACTTACACCTAGAATAGTCAGATTCATAGAGATAAAAAGTAGAATGGTGGTTGTCAGAGGTTGAGGGGAAGGGAGGATTGGGGAGCTATTGTTTAATGCAAGCTTATGTAGCCCGTGGCCCATAGGCTATATGTGGCCCATGACGGTGGCTTTGAATATGGTCCAACACAAATTTGTAAACTTTCTTAAAGCATTATGAATTTTTTGTGATTTTTAAAACTCATCAGTTACCATTAGTATATTTTATGTGTGGCCCAAGAAAATTCTTCCAGTGTGACCTGGGGAAGCCAAAAGATTGGACTCTCCTAGTTTAATTGATACAGAGTTTCAGTTTTGCAAGATGAAGAGTTCTTGAGATGAATGATAGTGATGGTTGCACCACAACACTGTGAATGTACTTAATACCACTAAATTATGCACTTTAAAATGGTTAAAATTCTAAGTGTCATATTGTTTATTTTACCACAATAAAAAAGAAATCCTTATAGCCAATGAGGGCCTTCTGCAGAATGAGGTGGACTTTGCCATTGTGATAGCCACAGGTCTCGATGTACCTTATGATGGACAAGATGCAACACCGACCCAAAATACCTGGGTGGCCATACACCCTGGGTCATTCCTCTGTAGGCTATTAGGGGTCAAAGGATGGGAGAGAGCCACATGTATCCCTTGAATGCTGAGAGTGAAGGTTGTAGTACCTGGGGTGGTCTGTTGGAATAGGGCCATCCCATAGCTTTGGTGCTTCTGTCTGTGGGCTGTCCTATGGCTCAGCACTCCTCACTTAAAAAGGACATTCCCAAAGCCACCCATAGCACTGACCCAGCTCAATTCCCCTTTCCCTCTACCTCATGTGGCCTCAGAGGCAATGCCAACCTTAGTTATAGCCCCATGTTTTGGTTATAGGCTACAGTTTTTGCATTTTGTTATAATCAAGCCAGGCCCATGGCCATCCTAGTCCCATTGTGCCCATCTGCTCCTCCACTTTCTCACTGGTGCCTGATATTCCTTTCAAGTGGGACAATGCCTTGCCATCAGCAACAAAGACACATGAACTTAAATTCATATTAAAGAATGGACACATTTTTGAGAGCTTTTGTTTCCATTATATATTTTGTCTTATACCAATCCTGAATGCTAGATAGTATTCACCTTGTTTTATAGAAGGCAACACTGAGTCTCAGAAAGTTTTTCCATGTGCCCGAGTCATCCAGCTTGTCAGGAGCTCTGCTGAGATTCAGACCCAGGTCTGTTGGGTTTCAGAGTCTTGCTCTTATCCTAATTCCATGCTGTCCCTCCTTATTGAGATATAGGAACTGGGCATAAAATTCATTTCTGAGTGCCCATTTGCATATGGAAAGTGTGGAACAAAGGGGGTGAGGGTGGGGGATGTTGCCACCTTCTTTGACATCCATTATGAGTTTTCTCTGGTCCTTCCAATGAGTAATCCACTGGCATAATCCACATCTCTCCTAACTCTGCTTTCTCATAAGACTGTATTTTTTTGAAAGAGAAGACAGAGTTCTAAGTTCCAAAAGGCTCATGCTTTTAGGAGGAGTGTTTGCTCTAGAAAGGAGAAAAGCAGATGTGAGCTACAAAGGGAGCACTTTACCTAGGGTTCATGAGCCATCCCATTACCCTGAAATTAGCCTCCAGAGCTGGATCTTGTAGGCTGGGAATTAATCCTGCCTTATTCCATCATCCCCGCTCTGGGGAGTGGAGCTGCCCAGCATCCTGGGATTGCTAGTTTACATAGGAAAACCAATGCTGACCACAATGAAGGCAGTCTTGGGCAGGCTGCTACTGACAGTCAACCTGCCTGAGACCTGCTTTGTTCTGTACAATGTGATTGCCATGTATAGGTGGTGAAAACAGGGTAATCTTGGAAGGAAAGGGTTTTCTTTGTCTCTTGCTTCTTCTCTCAATTAAGTGAGGGCCATTGGGAGAATAGGAGTGGATTTAATCAGGAATTGAAAGCTCTTGAGTAAGAAGAACAATGACAGAAAGCCAAAGCATGGACACTTCTATTCTTTGTTTGGGTTGCTGTTTATGAGATATGTTCAGGAAGGCTATAGATGTCATGGGTAGGAGGCTGGGGTAAATTATGAGCAATACTCTAAAGGGTCATGATTCCGTGAAGGGACCTCTTTTAACCTTATCATTTAAGATTCCTTTACTTGAGGCTGATAATGAGAAAGGAATTCTGAGCACACATTCTTTGTATTTAGGTTCAAAAAAATTGTCTTGAATCAAAGCAGAAAGAGAGTTATTGCATCTGTCACAGCTCCTGGAAATTTGTCCTTCTGCAAGGAAAAACAAGCCAGTGGCAGAGGAAATGGCTATCCATGAGGAGGGGTTGAGGCAGCGTAAAGTCCCTGAACAAATACATCTCCACTCTTGGGATAGTGAAGTCATCTGTGATTCTTACCAGTAGTCAGTCTTTGGAGTAAAGACATTTAAGTCAGCTATTAAAATAGACGTAAATGATAACTTTGAAGAATTTATGTGGTAATCCATTATCCTTCATTAAACTTTAACTTTTGTGTTTAATAGCTCTTGAACAAATTTTAAACAAATTCTTCAAATGGTATTTGAAGATGAATTAAATATTTGAGTCCTCATTTCATCCTGCAGATGGCACTCTTTGAATAACCAACATAGAAGTTGAGCTAACTGGGGAAAGGCTTTGCAGTCATGACAACCTCCCTGGGGAGGAATCCAACATTCAGAGTGAAGGTCCAGGAAGCAATACGTCAGGGGATCTGTGGCTACAGGTTTCTAGTCCAAGCTGCTGAGGTTGTGCGTGCTCAAGTAGAAGACCCGTCTGTGCACTGGCAGTAACCCTTCCTGGTCCTTAGGTCAAATAGTGGACTCAGTTTGCCTTTAATCTCACTGAATGACTCAGGCTGTACAGTAGAACAGTTTTTAAGAGACACGTATTTTTTGTGGC